AAATATTTCTGAAAAAATTATATCATAGTAAAATTATATTTGTGTAATAAAATTAGTAATCATCTACTATAACGAATAATTTGTTAATGCTATAATGAATTATTTATTATATATGCTAAATAATTCGTTATAGTATTAATGAAGATTCTTATAATAAAGTTCTGATCAACTGAGTCGAGTTTAAAGATCAACTTTATTTGATTCATTTTTTTCGAATTGAGTCAAGTCAAATTTATTTTATAAAATCTTTCAACTTGATTTAATTCGAGTTATATAAATTTTAAACTTGACTTAATTTGACTCAACTTAGTTTAACTCATCAAGTTCAAATTAAGTTTTAAGTCAATTTTAAATTAATTTATAAACATTTAATATAAAAAAATTTATACTTATCCTTATTTGTGAAAATGAAAGATTCGCTTCTAAAAAATAAGAAAGTAAATTAAATAAAAAAAATAATAAAAAGTAAAAATTAAATTAAAAGACAAAAACATCAGGGAAAAGGAAAGGGAATAATAAAAATAAATTAAAAAATAAAAAAATAAAAAAAATTAAAAAAAAAGTTAAAAAAATAATAAAAATCGAAAAAAAAATTAAAAATAATACTATTTTAAATTAATTTGAGTCAATTTGAGTTAAGTCTAGTTTAAATTGAGTCGAGTTAAATATTTAACTTGACTTGAATTTAGTATGACTTATAAATCATCAAATCAAAAAAAACATAAATTCGACTTGATTTAAATTTAACTTGACTTATCTGACTCGTGAGTTAATTTGACTTATCTGAAACTCTAAATAATAATTTCTTTATATCATATAAATTAAAATATTTATTACATCATATCACATCCTTAAGTTTTTATTTTACTATTTATTTAGAGAACTTAGATTTTTTTTGAATGATAAAATTTTATTTGTTATATATATATCTATTTTATAGTTAGAGTTATAATTAAAGTTAATTAAAATTATTTAAGATTAATTAGAGTTAGTTAGAGTTAGATTTTAGCATATTATTAGAAGAAGGATACTGGTATTTTCTAATATAAAATAAAAATATTTATTTATTTATTACTTATTTATCATATAATTAATTTAACTAAATTATATAATATTAATTTTTTTTAGTGATACATATACTAAAAGATAGGTTAAGGTAAATTTCAGTGAATATCTTGCTCATCTTTCTAAAGTCTCACATGAATAAATATAGTACAACTACATATCTATATCAATACAACAAGGATTGCTATTAATATTATAGTCTAACAGTCACTGGTTTTGACTTCAGATTCTATATCAACTAACCTTCACTTAGATTTTAACTGATTATCAGAATTAGATAGATGGCTTACTTCAGTCATAATGATTGATACACTATTTTTACTATCACTTATAGGATTTTACCTATCAATAACTACTAAGATTGAAGGATCAGATTTTTTTATGATAGTAGCTTTGTATTTATAGCGTTAAACTTACTCAGGAATTGAAATTGATCTCTAACCTTAATGGTAACAAGATCTAGCCTACAACTATGACGTGCAAGTCAGTCTGTAATATACTTTAGATCTACTAATGACTAGTTAATCACTTTCTTATTTGTGTAAGAGCTCTCAAGTTTGAAGATGTAAAACAGTATTCATTACAGACCTATTAGCAATGACCAAGTTTTTATTGATCTTTGGTTTTATTTGCATCCACTTATTCTTCAAACTTAGTATTTAAGTATAATCAATGTAGATCAATAAATTGATCTACCAGTTTCTAACGCATATTAGTTTATACACCTATGTGTTCAGTTACATATGAAATTTTTATGAAAATTATCTAGTTTTATGCTTCAGCTAAAGTATGAACTTATGGCTATTGTAATGTAATTCACAATAGAAGTTCAGTTATTATTAATTAAACTAGAGACACTAATTTCCTAAATTATATAATATTAATTTTTCCTATTTTAACGTATGTAGCTCTGCATAATCTTTATTAAGAGTAAAGTAAAAATTACAAATTACAAAAGAGATAGTATAGAAATTTTTATTTAATAAGATTAAATCAAAATTAACCTTATATCATTCTAGACTAATCTATCTTAAACTAGTTTAAAATAAGCTTAACCATTCAATATTAGGGATCTAGTTATTATTAATCTAAAATTTTGACCAATTAGAATCAAAGTGAAAGGAATTATGAAATGAAGGTAAGATGTCAAAAGAATAAGAAATGAAATTAAAAAAGCCAATGAACATGATATTAACTTTATAATCAGCAAGATTTATATTATAAGTAATCAAATTAATTAAAGATAGAGCAGTGATCAAGTCAGAAAATTTAATTTTATCGTGTGCAAAATGATAAGTTGAGGAGAGTAAACCAAAAACAAGCAATTTATTACTAATTATTTGGTATAACTTCTTATAAAGTAAAGACAATATTATATCTTTGATAAAGTTCATAAAATTGAAGAAGAAGTCAGTTAAGTTGAGTTTTCAGATATCTATGAATATGATACTTGAAATATCAAAGTGAAAATTAAACTTATATAGATATTAGAATAGGAATGCAATGATATCCAAAATAATATTATTGAGTTGATATAAAGTAATAGAGCACTGCTACATGTGCTCAAAGGTTTTTAAGCCAATTAGATATTTAAGGCAAAATTATGAGGCAACATACAAAGTAGAATGACGTTATTTGAATATTTCAAATATCAAAGGAGCTTAAGTAAGAGTTTGATTTTGAATTTTCAAATAGAAGATGCTTTACAGTTAACTCTTATTATAATAAACTCTATGTTTTAGATGTCAACTTCTCTATAAGGTTATAGTGAAGATTTTAAGAGATTTGATTGGTCAATTTGCTATAACAAGAGTATTTTTATTATATTTGTTTAAAAAGTTCATTATATCAAGAGTTTGCTATATCAAGAATTGACTGTATATAATGTAATTGAAGTACTTTCATTATCAATAAGAATAAAAGTAATGCTAATCTAATCTACATCTAGTGAGGAATACTTATAAAAATGTGAAAGTAATTGAATGTTGTAAAAGTTCATAGATTAGAAAAGATCCTTAACGAATTGTCTTGAGAGTATTAAGATAATATAGTTATTAAATATAAGTGTATAATTATATTCTAGTTCTAATAGTATAATAGTCATAGACAGAATTATAATTTTGGCTAAGCTATCAACTTTATTATTGTAGTAATTATCAGCGTGTGCTTTAACTTTGTGAAATGTTGTTGTAATAATTTTGTTATTGATAAGGCAAAAGAGTAGACACTAAATAGAATAATATGAGATTTTAAACGTAAAATTATAAGTAAAAACACAAGTGAAAAAATAGTTTTCAAATTTTAAAGATACTAATTTAAAATTAATTAATTATTTTTTAATTTACCTTCTAAATAAAATTCTAATATTTAATTTGATTAGATAAATAATTATTTAAATTCAAAAAAGTAAATATAGTATATAATATTTTTATTGCTTTTTTTATTAGAAACTATATGTATCTAAAAAAATATATTTTTAAAAAAAAGTTTTATATAATAACTATATATTTAAAATTAAATAAAAAATACATAGTATATATATTTAAAGTATATGTAATTAGAGAAATTTATTTAATAATAAATATTTTATAAAAATAAATATATATATATATACTGTATATAATTAACTAATATTTAAAAATATATTGTTATTTTATGATACTAATAACTGAAAATTAGTATTTATGCAAAATTAATAAAAAATTTAGCTTAAACTAATATTTTTTGAAGAGTTATATAAATAAAATGTTAATTTTAATAGATAATATATAACTTAGAATAAGAAATTAGGATTTTATTATAAAATAAAATTTAATACAATTATATTTATATACATATAATGTATTTTGTATTTATCAATTTTTGATAAATTTAAATTAAATTTTCTATATTTTTTAAATTCTCTGTCATTAAATAAGTTTTACAGTTATTCTATTTATACTAAATCTGCTAATATAAATAATTAAAATAATAATAATGATAATTGATTAATAATATAAATGAATTAATAATATAAAGAAAATTTTCTAAAATGATATAGTAATGTGACTTTTGATTATGAGTATTATATCAGATCAGCTGATCTTTTAATTAGTTATTTTTTATTATAATATTTATATATATAGAACTTTATAATAAAAAATAAAAAGACTGTTAGAAAAATAAATATTTTGATTTAAAATTTATATTTAATATAAGTATAAAAGTAAAAAATATTTTTTCTGATAGTTTTTTCTTTTTTTTTTTATTATAAAGGTCTATATTATAAATAAATGTTTTATAGGTTTAAATTTAAATTATCAATTAATTATTCATTAAAATTTAAATTTATGTAGAAATAAAAAATAAAACTTATCATTATTAAATAAAAGTAAGTTATTTAATATTATTATATTCAACATTTAGTTAATGGTATTTCTTATTTTAACTATTAATTAAATTTCTCGGATACAAGATTGTCGATCATTTCCATAAAAAAAATATATGCATAATCTTGAAATTTTTTTAGATTTTGAAAAATTATTTTTTAATTTCATAATTATTTAGTGATTTTATTGAAAAATAATTTAATAATGAGACATAAACAAGGAAAATCCGCTGTAAAATATATTAAAGATAAATTAGAAAGTGATATATTTACAGAATTAAATTCTACAATACAAAATTTAAAGTTAAACAATGAAAACTCTCAGAGTATTTTAATGAAATGGACAGAAACTTTAGATAAAGTGTTAAATGATAACCTTTATCAAGCAAAGAATGATGATATTTCACGTCAACATAGGGAAATTCTTGAGAAAATAACTTCTCATATTATTTCAATCGCTAATTTTGGAGGTGAATTTGAATTTCGAATTTGATTGTTATGTCTTATTTTATTTTGTCAATTAAATTTGTCTTCTTTGTATTTAGTTAGCGAAAATTATTCCCTGATATTTAAATTATTTGATATCTTACTGCAGATTGAATATAGTATTATTCAGCAGCATATTGATTCTGTATGGAGGATTATTCTTGTGGTATGAAATGTTTATTTATCTTTTGCAGGTGATTAACAAGTCTAATATAATTTTTTTTCAGTCTCAGATCGAATCGGCAGATTCTTGTGTCGAGTTGTTGAAAAGGCTATTGGAAATATATGCCAAATCTCGCGAAATGAATTTATATATTAAAGATCTTATATCAGCTTTAAGTAATATACAAATGGACGCAAACATGATATTAAAAACTCCATTATTCTGTCCTGTGATTTTGGACGAGTAAGTGTTCTTTTTAATGAAGTTAAATTATAGCAATAAAAAACATAGGCAAGGAATGATTATAAAATATATTTCTCTTAAAACTTTAGATTCTCGAGTAAAGTTGCAAATAATGTATCAATGCCTCAAGCCATTGAGATTATAACATCATTAACATCAGAAGTATGTGATGTATGTTTATCTGGCTTTATTGAACATAGTAAATTCGCAAAACTATTAAACAAGAGAAGGAAATTAGAAAAAGAACGTGCTTCCGATGTAAAAACCGTACAAATTATTGAGCCGTTGATTCTGTTAATGAGTAGCTTTTTGAAGGCATTGAGAATCACTGTCTCATTTAAAGATGAATTGGAAAAAGAATTTCAGGCAATATTTGACCGATTTATTTATCCGATCTTGTCTTGTGACTATGGCGACAAAGATGAATTATTATGTGGAAAAATGACATATGCAGCACTTAGTTTGCATCATGTTTTAGTAGATATTTCGTTAATATATTGGAAAAATACTTCGACCCCACATTTCATGACAATTTTGTGCGGTAATACGTTTAAGAATCCGAAATCGATGTTGTTTTTGGTACGCTTATTTCCATATTACTTGGTTAATAATAATATATACATTGATATTTTACGAATTTGGATTTTATTTTAGAATAAAGTACGACTTCAACATGTTCATCGATCAATTTCGTCAATAAATTATCGAAATAACACAAATAATGATTCGGACGATTCAATCATCATTTTGCGTAAATTAATAGAATCAGTCCTTTATACTTTGAAAGAACCCGAAAATCTTGATGTTGGTTGGACAGGAAAATTGGTTGACTTGGACAATAAGAATTTTGCTGTTGCTAATTGTATGACTATCCTTGGAGATTGGCTTGATGTTGTAAGGTAACGCTAATCTTTTTTTATTTATTCATAGAGAACGTCTTTCAACGGTCAAACTAATGAAATTTATTTTATTTTTAGCAATGTGTGTCATGAACATCATCTTGCACCCATTGTAAGGTTCATCATCAACTGGTCTATTACTTGTTCTTCAGTCTACTTGCAACCTCTCAAGGAGATTTCTGTTAGAACTTTATGCTTACAACTTTTAAAATCTGCTGAATTCTTTGAGTTGAAATCCTTGCGAAGTGTGTGATATTTTCTTTTTTAATTTAACTACCACGAATTATTTTATTTATTATTTAACCTCTTTTTTCAATATAGATATTTTTGTAAAGATATATCTAGAAGAAATATATAATTGCTTTCAACATATTCGTGATGAAGAAATGATTTCAAACGGAAATCATAAAGAATTAGACATGATTTTGCTTATCAGTTTGCAAGGCCAACAATCGGAAAAATCAAATTTAATGGATAATGTGACGTCTTGCTTTAATAATAGCTTTAATAATATAAACCAAAATTTTTGTGTTTCTTTGAAAAGCATTGACAAGATTGCAAAATTTATTGCTTTATTACATTTATTCTCGATGGAATATTTTACAAAGCAAGAAATTGGTAATCTTTCGCTAGTTATACTGCTAATTGATAAATGGGTATCGGTTCTTAAGACGGAATCTTATGAAGAAGTAACGAGCACAATCAAATGCTCCATTTTATGCAGGAGTTTAATTCGTAAATTCATTGCTTATACGAATAAGAAAGATGATGTTTTAGTAAGTAGCTTAATAAATTTTTTTTTCTTTTAAATATTTAACTTAAAAATTGTATTATATTTAGAAAAAGGATGCGTCTTTTATTATGTGGTGGATATCTTCCATAAATGCGTATCAAAAGTATATCACAGGTTACACCGATGATTTAGGGCATGATGATGTCGCAGTAATTCAAAACCTTTTTGAGAATTTCACTCAAATAACTTGTCAGACATTTGCACTTATAATAAGGTAATGATTGATCATTTTCGTATATTATATATCATTACATGGTTAATTAACCTTTCGTTTTCGCTAAATCATAGACAGATTCTCGTTGGGTATCCGGATGATGATGGAGATAAAATAAATTATTTAGATACTTTTGTAGATTATTTTAAAAATCTTTATGATGATGCAGAAAAATCTATTCCCGAAATGAAAGGTTCTTTTATGTCGTCGTCAAATGATGTTAGATGGAGATTTACTTTTGAATTTTTGAGTCTTGGTATAGAGTTCGCTGAAGCGCGCAAGTAAGATTCGTTTAGATTCAATATCACTTTAAAATTCCAGAAAGATATTGATTTTGATATGTTTGATTGTAGGTACTCGAAAAATGGTCGAATTGATCGCGAGAATTCTGTTTGGAGACTTTTTTTAACGCTGCAAAGCATCGTAAAAAACATTTTAAATGGAATTCTTTCAGATGTTCTTGATAAATCACTTCAAGAAATTCAAAATTCCAGTGATTTAAGTTGGAAAGAAAGTTTGTCTTTAGAACTGGGTAATAAGCTGAAAACATACAAGATATGTTTACAATATTATCATTTAGATAAAAATTCAGAATCGGAAGTTATCAAAGAAGGTATTTTAATTTACTTTTGAAATTTTTTTTTTTTCATTTACTAATACTGCTATATATACGTATATTACATTAATAAAGCGTCAAGTATGGTTTCCATGCTTTTAAAGATTTTTAAAATTACAACATCAATGTTACGCACAGGTTCTATGGAATTGGATAAGATACCTGATAATGAAGTATTAATATTGAAACATTGTGTAACTTTATTATCGGTTGTTATTGATCTTACATCTTTAATCGAGTTTGTGTTTATTACGAATATTTCGCATCAAACGTTTACTCTAGTTTGTGACTTAATGAATATTTTCCATAATGAAGGTAAATTGATTGATTGATTGTGCTCGATTGGCAGACATATTGTTTAATTGTAATTGTAATTTAATTATATAAAATAGGTTCAAATTGTGAAGTTATGAAAGAGTTGGAGGCGATATTTAATTCAATTATTTCAAGAGGGTCAAATGAGATATATGATAATCTTGCTAATATTATTTTGGTTAAAATTGAAGATTTTCCATTTTCCAATGATACAAGCAAGTATGATTTAATATTTTTAATTCACCTGATTGATGTATTTCTTCGTAATTCCAATCATGGTAAGTATCACGATATATTATCCGTTTTGAAAACTTGAACGTTCAGAATTGCTGAATACGTTATATTTATAGGGCAATTACGCAGGTTGGAACAAAAACTTCCTAATTTACTTTGTGGAATTTGTGGTATGGCCGAGTTAGTAGATAAAGTTACACTTGGGATACAAACTTTACGAATATCGAAATTTCTTATTTGTCACAGGGTAAGAATGAATGATGATGTTTCATAAGTTTTATCATGAATATAACGTTTTTATTTTTTATTAGGCATTTTCGTTTCAAAGTACGGATATTGGAATAGTTTTATCCATAGTGATAACCTTAACATCACCAAAACGACATTACGAAGATCATGAATATAAAGAGTTATTTGAAGAGATTTGTTATTTACTTTACAACATACTGATTCATCGTTGTGAACAATTAATTCATACCATACCAACATTTATATTTATTATACAAGGCATGTTTCATTGTTTTAAGAAAAATACAAGATCGATTAAAAATAATTTAAAAGAGATACAACAAAAAGAACAACAGTCGGGAAATCGATACATTTCATGGTGGGAAGTTCATTTGAAGGAACCATTATCAATCGAAAGTGCAAAAACATTCGCGAGGTTATTAACAATGATTTCACATGTTAAAAAACCCGGTAATAAGGCTTTTATTAAACATCTTCCTTCGTTATTATCAGAATATATTCATATACAAACGAGTAATAGTATATTAGAATTGAATATAAAGGATGTACTGAAAAACGGGATTTATTCATTATTGGATTTATGCGGACAATTTGAAAGGGACATGATAATGGTCAGTTTAGACCTAGTTGGTAAAAGTTTATTTAAAAGTTTATGGACTGAATATAACAAAGATTGGAAATATGTTGGAAGGGGATAGAATGTATAACAATGTAATGATACATTCTTAAATATTTTTTACCCTGAATAAATTGACTCCTTTCAACCATATTAGCATATGGTCGAGTTACTAAAAAGTAAATTGTTTGTCTAAACCATTAACCTACCTACCCTACATGATATTCATCGTGTTTCTATTGTCGAATCTTAAATTTTTATAAAATGAATTTCAACGTCCCATTAAAATTTAGAGAAGAGATAAGTAAACCAAAAACATGGAATCCAGAAGAATTATTAGAAAGACGCCGTAAATGGTATGGAGTATGTGAAAGGTGTGATAAACCAAATGTTGCCGCAGCTTGGTGTGTATGTGACAGAAAAGAATTAGTTTCTAAAAAATGGACAAGTGGAAATAAATATGTGGATGAGTTTCTTAGAGAAAATCATCGTAATGCAATTGATCATAACAATTATTTAAAATGGGTTGAATTTAATAGTCTTACTGATATAAAACAGATTGGTGAAGGAGGTTTTGCCAAAGTGTATTCAGCTAATTGGCATTATTATAAAAACGTCATTAAAATAGTAGGTGGAAAGTACAAGTTAAAATTGGAACGTGAAGAACACACAACAGTAAAAAAAGTTGCACTTAAATCTTTAGAAGGATCAAATGATCTATCCGAAAAATATTTAGAACAGGTGAGTTATTCTTTTTATTTTTATTTTTATATTTTTATATTTTTTTTTAAAGTAAATTAATTCTTTTAACATAACAGATCAAAATTTTTTGGAATGTACAATCGAAACTAGGATCTGAACTTTTTTATGGAATTACGAAAGATCCTGATACAGGCGAATTGATGCTGATTGTAGAGTTAGCAGATGGCAACTTGCGCAGTTTTTTAAAAGAATCCAAAGACCTATCATGGAAGGAAAAATTAAAATATTTATCACTGATTTCTCGAAGACTTAGAAACTTTCATAGAATGGGATTCTGTCATAAGGATTTTCACTGTGGTAATATTTTAATAACGAGAAACCCTAAGGATGTACTTGTACTTGATTCAATTTGGATAACGGATTTCGGATTATCAGGGCCAGCAAATCAACCTTCAGATGAAGTTTATGGCGTGTTACCTTATGTAGCACCTGAAGTATTACTTAAAAAACCATATGACATGGCATCTGATGTTTATAGTTTAGGTATTATTATGACGGAATTTGCATCCGGAAATCCCCCTTATCATAATTATAAGCATAATGGATATCTTGCATTAGAAATTTGTAAAGGACTCAGACCTGAACTTGGAAAAGATACACCTCAAATTTTTAAGGACTTAACTTATATGTGTTTAGATGCTAATCCAGACAAGAGACCAACAAGTAAAGATTTAAAAGAAATACTGAGTTATTGGTATGATTGTGTATATGAAAAAGATGAGCAAAAGTTAGATGATATTGCTAAAGAAATTAGAGCAGCATTTGAAAAAGTGAATGAAGAAATACCAAAGTTCATAGTAAAATCAAACATTTCTAATGTTTATAAAAGTTCTTTATTAAAATATTCAAATCTACCAAAACCAGTAAATTCTTCACTTATTTCTACTTATATTAGTAAGTTTTTTTTTTTTCTTTTTTTTTTTTTTTTTTTTTTGTGTTTTACTTTAATTACTTATTAATTTAATTAAATTTTAAGGTGATTCTACTCAAATTGATTTAAACTTAGAAAGTATTTCTTTGATTGGTAAGTTCAATAATATTTATTTTATATATTTTATATTATATATATTTATTTAATTTTGTTTAATAGATATCATCAAAGATGATGATTAAATAATTATAAAAAATTAAATTTGAAGTTTATGATAGTTGCCTTTTTATCATTAATACAGTCAACTCTTGATATAGCGAACTCTTGATATAATGAATTTTTTAAACAAATATAATAAAAATACTCTTGTTATAGCGAATTGGCCAATCAAATCTCTTAAAATCTTCACTATAGCCTTATAACGAAGTTGAGGTTTAGGACATAGAGTTCATTATAACAAGAGTTGACTGTATTTGATTTTTAAATTATTCTTTATCATGCATTTTATTTCTACAACTATCATTATTTGAAAAATCAATTACATTAAATATATACTGATTATATTTGTATTAATACAATAATAATACATTAATCTATTCTTTTAAAATTAATTTTTTTATAAATTTTTTTTTATATTTAAAATATTATTTTTTTAAAAAATATATAATTTATTTAATTTATTTTATGAATAAAAAATTTGAAACTTATAAAACATTATTTATATTTGTTAAACAAATTTGTTATATTAACTATCTAGTAAAAAATTTGATAAAAAATTATTTAGAAAATTATGTGTTTTTATTATGTATAAATTTTATATAATAATCTTACATTATATATGTTTTTTATTTATAAAAACTTTAATTTAAAACAGAAAAATAGAAAAAAATATATATTTTGTAATTATAAAATATATATAAAAAATATATATTAAATATAAATTTTGTAATTATAAAACATATATAAAAAATATATATTAAATATATATTTTATAATTATAAAACGTATAAAAAAATATATATTAAACATATATATTATAGTTATTAATAAAGATGACGCTGCAATTAGTTGCAATCATATGATGCTTATTTGTCACTGGTTGCAACTAGTTGCAACTCAATTTTTATTAATATTGCAACTAGTTACAACCCTATAATGCTTATTTGTCACCAGTTGTAACCAGTTGCAGTACCATCTTTAGTTATTAAGTAGAAAGGTTATTATATTATTGAAATGTAAATATCTCAAGTAATATAATATCCTTTAACTATATTATTAAAATAAAAATACTGTTACTTACACAAATAATTGGATTAATTTATTTTAAACTTTTACAAAAATTAAGAATTTAATAAAAGTATTAAAATATAGAGAATATCGATACTTTATATCATCATTTTAGTGAATATTTTATTAATATAATATATAAAAATAAAAAAAAATATATAGCATATTTAGTAAAGGTTACTTTTGTAGTAATGAATAAGTTTTTACAAAAAACATCTAAAATTAAAAGTATTAATTATATAAGATAATTAAATTTAAATAATTAAAATATTATTAATAATAAATTAAGTAATTAAGAAGTTAAGATAAAGATAATGTAAAAGTCAGATACACTTAACTGTAATAAAATTAAATAAATTTTAAATTATATAGATCTACTTTTACAAATTTACTTTATAGAGTTTTTTTCTGTAATGCAATATATCTTAAACTTAAAAGAGAAAAGTATTCTAAAATAAAAACAAATAATTTTACTAAAAATTCAGATAAAAGTTATATAACTTCAATATATTGTATTTAAATTAATCTATATAGTTTAAAATTAAAATAAGAAAAAAGCTAAATAATTTTTATTTCTATTTCATTTTGATATTTCTTTCTTTTATAATAAATATCTATTATTATATCATATGAAGCTGATAATAATTTTACATACAAATAACAAATAAGAAATTTAATAAGTGTATTAACTTAATTTTTAGTTTTTTTTAATACTTTATTTTATTTATAGTTTTATATTTAGAGCTCTGTTTAAAAAAATCATATTAAAATAAAAAGAATCAAAAGTTTTATGAAATTAATTTATTAAGATATTAAGATTAATCTGAAAAATAAAAAATAACTAATAATACTAACTAAAAAAATTCTAGTACAAATACTAAAATAATAAATATTCTATTTATTATTATTCTAAAGAAGGATTAATATCATATATAAAGTTAACTAATAATAAACAAGTAAAAATAATTTTTAAAATAATAGATAATATTTATGAAATATATATCAATTAAATATAATAGGTAAATTAATTATATAGTTAACTTTCATTATAGTTACATTATTCTATATAGTCACTCTAGTTAAATGATCTGAATTTTTATTATATAAATCCTACTGTTTATAATCACATTCTATTTATAATCACTATCACTCTTATTTTAAAAAATCTTATAATTAAAAAATATCATTTATAATCACATAGTTACGTGAAAAATTGGCATAAAGAAAAGAATATCAAAAAACTTTTATAATATTATGAATTTTTTTTAATACATTTTTTATTAAATATATATTGACTATACTAACTAATATTATTAGTTTTTAATTAAATAAATAACTAAAAATTATATAGTTTTTTCCTTCATTTTATATATACTCATAAATTTATAAATATTAAAGTATGCTTGCTCTTAACCAGATATAGATTAACTTATAACTATTGATCCTAAATACAATGTAGAGGTAGCAAGCTTCATTTAAGAAAAAAAATTTTTTTTTTAAGAGAAAATTAGAAAAAAAAGTATAAAAAAAACTGAATGTGAAATTAAGAAGAAAATGAAAAAAGAAAAAGAAATGATAAAAATTGAAGAGTATAATAAAGGATGTAATAGTTAAAATGAATTATACAAAGAGATTTTCAGTTTATGATAGTGTTTTGGTATTAGATGATAATGAAGATGAGATAGATTTTTGTGATAAGGCAGATTTTCATGAAGAAAAAAATTAGTAAAATGAGAAGTATTTAAATTTTCTAATAAAGTAAATATTAAAAATTAAGTTAAAATAAGTTTAAAATATTTGAAACTTAAATAACAAATTTTACATCACTCTAATTCAGCTTACCTTCTTAATTCTACTCGAGAAGCTAAAAAATAAAAAATTTGAATTTAACAAAATTTTAATATAAATATTAAACAAAATACATTTTAAATACTTATCAGATTTTGTCTAGAATGAAATTTTGAATTATTCTTCATATTTTTTACTAACTTTACTTCACCTTTCTTTTGAATTTCCTTTCGCATAAAATTCAAATAACTAAAAATATTGATTGTTTATAATTTTTATTTTATATAATTAGATCGTTTTCTTTCTTAATCAGAATTTTACTAACTTTACAATCTTTAATCATTTTTTTAAACTTTGCTTAATATTATACTAATATAATATCTATATTAAATTCTTTCTTAATCTTCTTCATAACATCTTTCCAAAAGATAACTTTGATCTTCTAAGATTAAATCAATATTCTTCATTTCTGTTTTTCCTTTCATTAATCAATAATTTAACTTTATTATTATTCCAATTGATTGTGTTTAGTATTTTTGATAAATTGAAAATTTAAAATTATTAAATTTAATTTTTTAATAATTAAAGAAAAAGAAAAAAGATACTTATAAATATATATAAAATTATATCGACATATGTCAGAGATTTGAAACATTTTATATATAATAAGTAATTTTATTTAATTAAAATTATTTAATAATTGCAAATTACAAATTGTAATCGTAATTCTAATTTATGTATTACATATAATCAATTTACAAAATTATCTAATAATTTCAATTTTGATAATATTACTAAATTTATGTAATTTCAAATTTTTTATTTCAGAAGAAAATACAATTTCAATAATAATATTTAGATAATCACCTTTGATTTACCTTTGATTTATTCTTAGTTTTACCACTAGTTATTCTATATAAAAATTTTCTGAATAATTAATAATTTTTTTTAAATTTATGTGATTTTTAACTAAAATTTCACAAAAACTATCTAAATTTTATTATTCTAATTTAATATCAGAAATAATATCATTATTAAAATATCATTTAAATTAACTATTCATTAGTATTTTCTTTAAAAAAATAAAAAAAAAAACTATTTTAATGATTATTTTTTTAATTGAAAATAAATAAAAATATCAACATTTCTTTACTTTTCTCCTAATATTTATTAATTCTCTTAACTAAAATAAATGAAATATAATTATTGCTAAAATTTTATTTTATTTTATTTATCTTTTTAAAAATTAAATAATTAATTCTTTTGTACTAAAATTAACAATTAAATAAAAAAAAGTTAAAAATTGATAAATGATTCTATATAAATTTTTAGCTAAAATATCTAGTCAATTTAAATTATCCCTTAAACTGTAGAGCAGGCAAATTTGCCTGCGAATTTTTTAAATTTTGATTTTTATACAAAAAATTTATT